GGTGGGGTGAGGAGGGGGTGGGGTGAGGGGAGGGGGGGGGGTGAGGAGGGGGGTGGGGTGAGGAGGGGGGTGGGTGTGGGTGAGGAGGGGTGGGGTGAGGAGGGGGGTGGGGTGGAGGAGGGGTGTGGGTGAGGGGGGTGGATGGGTGTGGGTGAGGGGGGTGGGGAGGGGGTGGGGTGAGGAGAGGAGGGGTGGGTGAGGAGGGGGGTGAGGAGGGGGGTGGGTGAGGAGGGGTGGGGTGTCGGGGGCCTTAGCATCATCAGCGGGAGATATCCGCACCGCCACCACCGTTAAAGTTGTACCTGAGTTGGAGTCCAAGTGGCGGCAAGGGCAGCCCGGGCCACACCAGACCAGGCCATCAGGGGCCACGACGGAACCCCCGTTCATCCTGGATCAACATGTCACGATAAACCAAAGATAAACCCCGTATTACTTCTGCCTCATCACACATGGTAACATACAAGCACAATCTCTCTCTCTCTCTCTCTCTCTCTCTCTCTCTCTTGACCTATTCTTTACTAACACACGATGGAAGGAAAGTAGGTCAGAGGCAGCAAGGCGTGTGTGTGCTTGCCTGAGTTGCTACGTGGAGTGAGAGAGAGTGGTGATAATGTTTCAAACCCACGAGCTGAGAAAAATAATATGGGAAGAAGACAATATATTTTTTTTTCAACTCTCAATAAGAAAGACATGTTAGGGAGAGACAATAGGCATAGTTAATTAATATGTATAACGTTTCCCTCGACTCTTGATGTTTACTGTTGTGTATCGGTATCCTGCCCCTCTCCCCACCACAAGAAAATAATAAGGGAACAAAAAGTGAGAAAAAATGACGAAAACGAGATAAAAAAAACAAACAACAATAATATAGTGGGTGCAAAATGGAGTGTACACACACACACACACACACACACACACACACACACACACACACACACACACACACACACACACACACACACACACACACACACACACACACACACACAGATAATGAAAGTCGAAATAAAAGGTGAAGAAAAACAGAAAGGAGTG